TGAACCACAAACATGTAAATACATGACTAAATATGCTCGTTGTCATAATAAAATTTGAAAAGTGCTTTCAGAACATAAATGACTAACTGTTGGCATGAAAAAAATCCATTAAAAATGAGAACCATGAGCCACCTAAATCAAATCGAGTTCTGATAGTCATTTACTGTTTCTCAGTACTGTGCTTACTAAGATTCCTCCTTTTCCTGGCAACTGAAACTTGCAACTCTCAAGGCTCAGGCCTGTGACCTCTTCTCTTCTGCGGCTCATTCGTGGGTGATCTCATCCATTCCGACTTGTGATGCTCAGTTCACATCTCTACGCCCACCATCATGGGGAAACTGCAACTACCTGTGACCTCTCACAATGATGGTGTCTACAACCAAAGCCTCCATCCACAGCCCCCAAACCTGCCTCTCTCACAGTGTTCCCCACATTGGAAATAGCAGCTCCATTCTCCAGCTGCCCAGTCCAAAAGCTTCACAATTGTCCTTGCCACCTCTCTACTTCCATTACAGTATCTCATACCCAGTAATCAGCAAATCTTGAATTCAGTAACTTGTAAGAGTCCTATAACCTCCTTTCATGTAGACCATTACAATACAAACTGATCTCCCTGTTTCCACTCTCCCTTCCCCAAAAGCTGTTCTCAGCACAGCAGTCAGGTGATCTTTCCGAGGCATTATGGACCCAGAATCTTCACCTGCCTTAAATGCTCCAGTGGGTTTTCTTTACACTGTTTCATGACCGAAGAGGTCCTAGATAATCTGGCTCCAGACTGCCTTTCTGCAGCCATCCTCTACCACTCTCTGACTCCATTCATTCCAGCCTCAATGGCCCCCTTGCTGTCTCTTCAACATGCCAAGCAATCTCTCTCTTAAATCATGGTCTTTGCACATGATGTTGTTCCATTTGCGGGGAATGACCTTTCTCCAGATAGCCTCATGACTCACTCCCTCACTTCTCTCATTTATCTGCTCCATTGTTGCCATCCTAGCTAAAACAGCACCCATACTTCAATCTCTAACCACTTCCCCTGGTTTTCTTCCTAGCATCTGACATTCTTTTTTTTCTTGACACGGGGTCTTGCTCTGATAGCCAGGCTGGAGTGCAGTGGCACAATCACGCCTGACTTCAATCTTGACCTCCTAGGCTCAAGCAACCTTCCCACCTCAGCCTCCCAAGGAGCTGGGACTACAGGCATGTACCACCCTGCCGAGCTAATGTTTGTATTTTTTGTTTTGTAGAAACAGGGTCTTGCCATGTTGCCCAGGCTGGTCTTGAACTCCTGGGCTTGAGCAATCCTCCCACCTTGGCTTCCCAAAGTGTTGGGATTATAGGCATGAACCACCATGCCTGGCCCTGTTGTATTAGTTTATCATCCTTGCTTAAATAGAAACCTGATGAGGCAGCATCTATGTGTGTCTTATTCATAGCTCCACAGTCTAGAATAATACCTGGCATACAGTAGATGCTCAATTAAATTTTGTTGAATGAATGAATGAGTTACTATTACCTTAGTTTACGCAGAGCGTCACAGTTTACAAAGCAGTCACATTCACAATATCTTAATAAGCCCTCTAATGATTTGTGACATGGGCTTTGTTATATCCATTTTATTGATATGTTGACAGTCTGTTGAATACATTTTAAGTCCCTTGCTCAAGGTCATATAGCAATTAGAAACAAAAGTCAAGCTCTGTTGTTTTGCCTTCAAGTTCAGTTTATTAATCATAAATATAAAATGCTATTAATTTATTAGTGTTGCTCAAGATATTTCACTTGTAGTATCTCGTTTAACTTTCACAACAATGCTTTGAGGTGGGTTCTGTTTTGCAGATGTGAAAACTAAATCCCTACTAAGTAACATACCCTAGGTCACAGAGCTGAAAAATGGTAAAATCAGAATCTGGGTCCTGACAGCCTGGTTCCAGAGGGTTCTTCTCCACAGATGGACCTGCTAGACTTAACCTGTAAAATGAAGAGAGTGAATGAAACTGCAAACACAAATGGAAAAGCATCAAACTTGTTCCATGGGGACTTTCTGCCATCATTCAAATTTTCGCTCTCGTTACATGTAGTGAAACTTTCTTCTTTTTCTTTGAGATCATAAATCTGGAAAGAATTGTATCTCAAATGCAGTTCATTATGTTGTTTTCTGGTTTTTATCCGTCTTTGAAATGTTTGAAACGTTTGTTTCTAAATTGAGAAGTCACTTAGGAATTTTAGGAATCGTGGGCAGAGCTCATGGATTTCCAGCAGTCTGATTTTTTCCTCCTTTGGTAGCTTCATGCTGCCTTCTGTGGCGTGAGCATAGGCTGGTGTTCCCTCTGAGCACAGATTCCACCTGCTCTCTCATCGCCCTATGTCATGCCTTGTTTCATCAATTCTCACCTTCATTTTATCACATAACCTACATTGTGGAACACTCAATTTCTTTTCCTTTCTTTTTTTTTTCCTTTTTTCAAAAGGAAGAAGCTATTTGATTGGATGTGATGGCACCAGAGGCAGAAATGTGGCAAAATTTTAAATGGTGAGAAATCCATCTCAGCTACCTCGATTTTGAGAAGCAAATTGTGATTTCTCAACTCACTTTGGATTGAACTGTGCAACTTAGATGAACTAAAACAGTTTCATTGATTTGTCTACTTGTCCACTCGTCTCCAAGTCAGTCAGGTGTTTGTGAATGCTGCCTATTTTCTACCCTGTCTAGCTATTCAAATGATTAACTTAAAGGTGTATATAAAGGTACATAAACATAGCTAGATGCCTTTGAAATAACAAAGCCCTCAGGTCATACATAAGCAGGCCTTTAGAAGTTGAAAAACAAATTAGGGATGTTGATTGTTCCTAAAGGTTGTAACAGAAAGATTCTAAGCACTTATCTGGGAATAGACTGTGAGGATAGCATGTGGTCTATTGATCCAGGCATCCCCAATGCCTGGCACATAATAGGTGCTCAACAGAGTAAGTGCTTAACATAGGAAATGCTTGGTAAATTTGTGTTGAATCTATAGTACTCTGTCTTTTATTGCCTATTCATGAACTTGTCTCGGCACACACGCACACACACACACACACACACACACACACACATATTAGATTGTAAGCTCTTACAGGAGAAGGTCTGTCTTATTCACCACTGTATTCTCTAATACAGAACCACCAAATAAGAAGCGATCATTAATTCTCATCGAATCGAAGTAAATTCTGTGGCTTGTTTTCTTTATCTCACTTCCCTCACCCTATCGTGTCCATTTGGCTCTCAAACCAGAATGCCTAAAACAGCTGCATTAATCTAATCAAATATGTAAAAGCCAAAACCTTGAAACCTTTTAAATCCAGCTCTGAATTGCATTTTTAAACTTACTCTGGCCATTGCATAAGTAGATTTAGCAACTAGCTAACTGCTATCCCAGGAGGGGGGAAAACCCATAAGCTTAATGAAATTGGTCAGACATACAGTGTAACAGATGTCCAACATGCCGCCATGAACCTAAATCATCAATATGATGCTTCTGTTTGGCATGGCAAAATATATTACAACTGTTTTATCAGTCACTGGGCAACTTGCTGGATGGAGGGGGAATAATCCTGAAAAATGCAGGAGCTGCTTCTAATAGCATCTAAAAGGATCCCTGGAGAAACACAGATAATCTGCTTGCAATGATTCATCAAGTCGGTCCTTTGTTTCATTAATTTGAGTGTCAAGTGCAACCATACAATAAAGAATTGCCAAGACCTGATAAGATTCTCCTCTGGCTGCTGCTTCTCCTGCCCTAACAACTGGTACTATTCATGCCTAAAGCACAAACTGAATAAATAGCTTCAAGGCTGGCAATGTTGGACAGTGCTTAGTATTTTGCTTTTCCTTGAAAGGCTAAATCATGTGCTTTCTTGCCCTCTCCCAAACACGTTGGGCTGACATTCATTATTGCACCAATAATTTTAACTTTCTTAATACTAAGTATGGAAAGATGCCTCATAAGATAAAAATAGTTCCTGTTGTATCATCAGTCCAGCAATAGATTAGGGAAGATTAAAAATGGATTGTAATGCCTTTTTTGGCCTTGAGAAAGCTCTTATTGCACCCATGGTTCAGTTGGCCTGCTGATCATTTCCATCTTAATGTAATCTTTAACATTACACTGCTACAGGTGAGGTGTTAAGTAATACATTAAGACAACTATTTTCACTAAGCAATTTCATGAGAAATATGTTTTTAGCTAAATTAGACATTTAACAAATGTCATTTGTAATTCAATGCAGAGGAGAGAGCATCCTTAAAACAAGCTATTGATGTAAATTTCCCAACATAAAACAATAATTATGTTTTCCTAATTTTAATTGAAGTTCTGAATGTGAAATTATGTACCCTCAGCCCAGAAGACCAACGGAAAGCACCAAAGACCCTAGGATTATGAAATAAGCCATAAGAAGTTTTATCTCTAGCAGGCAGAAATTCTTCATCCAAATTAGGAAGAATCTACAGGTCAAGTTAATCATGTAGCTGTGACGTGCTGAATGTTTTTAAAACTTTAAGATCATTTAGATGAACACAAGGAAATTCAAAGGTCAGGTAGAAATATAATTGTAATATTTAATACAATAATAAATGAAATAATTGAGATGAAATATTGTGATCTAAAAATTGCATGAGAGTAACTGGATTTGAAAAAGTAAAATTAAGAGGAAAGAGAAAATTAGAAAGTGAACAATTGTAAAACAAAATAAAAAATAATTTTTTAAGCAAAATAATTTCGTGCTGGATTTCTCTATGCTCTGAACATAAATGCAAACTCTGTAATAGAGTTATTGACATTTGGAAGGTTGACTTGTTTTCATCAACATCACAAAACAGAACATTTAGTTTGCAAATTTTGAAATGGCTATCGCGTTCAGAATCCAATCAGGTTCTTTATCACTTGATGACTTCTTTAAAGATATATAAGCCCGCGGACCAAGAAGTGGATATACTGGCTCTGTTAACTCTCTCTCCCCAGAAATTTCACTACTGAAAAGATTATTATTTGGGGGCGGGGAGGGGGATGCAGAGAGAGGTCTTTAGGACCCAGCAGGCGGCGGCAGGCGGCAGTTGTGTAGATCACTGAGAGACTACGAGGGTCCGGTTCAGTTTTAATTCTGTCTCTAATCTCTGCAACAGCAGCGCTTCCCGGGTCCCGTGGCTCCCGCGAGCGATTTGCCGCGGCAGGCTGCCGGGCGAAAATCAGAGCCGCCTCCGCCCCATCACCCATCATGGAAACCCTCCAGGAAAAAGTGGCCCCGGACGCGCGAGCCTGAGGATTCTGCACAAAAGAGGTGCCCAAAATGAAGACCCTGATGGTGAGTCAGTTGTGGCAACTCCACTGGGCAAAGAGGGGGATCCCCGGGCTCAGGGTCCGCGGGACGCACCGAGGAAACTCCAGGACGCCTAATCCTGGGCCGTGATGTCGCCTGTTACAAAGGGACAACTTTCTACCCGCTTGGCGTTCCCTCCCGATTCTCCAGCTCTGCCTATCTCGGAATCCCAGAGCCAGGATGGAACTCGGGTTGCCTCGGCTCCTAGATCTCCGGCGAGAGGTCTGATGGGGTGGCGGAGAGCTGAAGGAGCGGTGGAGGAGTGGGCAGATTGCTCCAGGGATGGGGGGGGTCCCCAAAAGCAACAGCCTGCTAAAAACTAAGAGGGACGGAGAGGGGGGACCTTTGCAGACTTTCTTCATTTTCTTGGATTTTCAAACTTGCGAGGATTAGCGAGGTAGAGCCCCAGGTCCCCAGGAAAGGAGGGGTGTAAGGACTCAAGATTCCAGCAGCTTGGCTGGGGCAGACCGACCCTTCCCCAAAGTGCAAACCCACCCCTGCCCTCCGCCCCGGAGCGCTCCCTCCCGCAGCGGGGGACAGTGCACCACCTGCCCTCTACCGAGAGATCTGGGCGGCGGCGGCCGAGAGCTGCGACGCGCCCCGAGCATCCCTTTGGGCTTGCGAGGGGACGGTGCCTTACCGTCCCCAGCTGCGTGCGGCTGGACTGGGGCCCAGGCCGCCCCCCGCCCCCAGATCTCCCCGGCTAGTGTGACCACCTCGCAGGTGTCCCCGCTGGGCGCGCTCCTCCGGTGTCTGCGCTCAGCCGCTCTCCTCTTCTCTCTCCCGCCCGCCCGCAGCGCCATGGTCTGGCAGTGTGTTTAGCGCTCACCACCATGTGCACCAGCTTGTTGCTCGTGTACAGCAGCCTCGGCGGCCAGAAGGAACGGCCCCCGCAGCAGCAGCAGCAGCAGACGTCGGCCACCGGCAGCTCGCAGCCGGCGGCGGAGAGCAGCCCCCAGCCGCGCCCCGGGGTCCCAGCGGGACCTCGGACACTGGACGGATACCTCGGCGTGGCGGACCACAAGGTGACAGCATGCCCACCAGCCCGCTCGCTGCTCTGCCTGGGGATCCCGCACACCTGAGCCTTCTCCCTTTCCCGGGGCTGGGAGGCGCCGTGAGTAGGTGCCGTTCGGAGGCTGGAGGGGGAGTGGACCCACTGGGGTAGGGTGGGCTAGTCCCAACTTGGTATGAATTCTTATTTGGAGAAAGACATAAAGTTTTGTAGAAAATAGAGGTCAGCTGAGTGGACCCCAAAGCTGATTTCCCAGCAGAAATCGACCTTGGAACTAGAACTCCCTGTTCCCCAGAATTACAGCTGCCGATGGAGGTCCGGTTCCCGAACCCTCGGGTTTCAAAGCCGAGTCGCTCCAGGGTGGGAGGAAACTGGGGATGACGCGGGTACCAGCCTGAGCGTTTCTCTGACCCGGAACCAGAGGGTGAGCACAGCCAGCCTGCGGCCACTGCTCGGATCCTCCGAGGTGGCCCCCTTATCTCTCCAGCGCATTGCTTTGGGCTGAATTCCCTCGGCCCTGGGGAGAGGTGCCCAGGCAGGCATGGAAGACTTGAGGCACAAACTCAGCTTCTATTGGTTTGAAACTCGTCGTTGTGATCCTGTCTTCCTGTGCCTTCCGGGAAGCTACTGCATGGCTTGGCTAATAATTAATAAGATGAATTTTTTAAAATTGAGCCTCCTTTCCCTGGAATAATAAATATCTGGTTTCAGTGTGTGAAGCCTCTGGGAGAATCCTAATCAAGTTTGCTGATTCTGAAGATACTTTAATACAGTTTAAATGTATCCCTCATTATTTGAAGCTCATATGTTTTTCTTAAAACACAATTCCACTCTGTATCTGCTTTATAAAGCTAGAGGATTTCTTGAAGTCTCACAATTATTCTTTTTATTTTACTAAATTTTATGGTTGTGAACTGAAGTGGTATTTAGTAGATGCTCCTTTTGTGTGAAAAGCTCGCTCTAACCATACATGAAAAAATCAAACTTTTTAAAAATGGCATACAGAATATTGCCACACATCTGTTTGATGCATAAGGCTAAGGATTTGAAAGGTATAAAAGAATTTAAGGCAGGACCCAGCTTACGAATCTTTAAATACCTGAGGACAAAACAATATACCATGAAATGTGTGTAGATAGATAAACTGATAGATATAAATGTATAATAAATGCTAGATATAAGCAGTACTGTCAGGGTGCAGAAATGAGAAAGATGACTTCCCTGGAAGGATCAAGGAAAGGTTATTTGAAAAAGTGGAATTGGCAATGGGAAGAATTCAGGGAATCAAAAAGGAATCAGTCTCATCAGGAAGTGATTATTTATTTATTTCTGTCAGGAGCAGGGGTTGAGGGGTGGGGGTGTTAGTAGACTTAAAATCCAAAAGCAGAAGGCTATCAGTTTTACGATTACAGCTTTCATTTCCTTTCTTAGTTGTTGATTGATTACATGCTTTGTATCTGCATGCGCAAGCAACCAATAAGGGCTGGAGTTCTAAGAAAGTTTAGACCTGAGCTTTTCACTGTGGATGGCTGTGGTGTTTATGTGTAACAACTGGTGTATGATGGATATATTGAGCTCATGGATTTCCATGGCTATTGTTTGGTGGAAATGACTAACACTTGTGAAGCTTTGATTAATGGCAGCATCAGAAGGTAAATTTGCTGAAAGTTTTGATCAGCTTTTGGGAAGATAGTTCCAATACTTTTCTTCCTGTGTTCTTCTACTGAACAGACACCAGCTAAGAATGTTGATAGCTTAATGCAGGGTATAATACCCTAATGCTTATGTTCAAAACAATGTTTATTGACACAAATGTATTTGATTTCAATTTTCATTTATCAGAACCTTATTTTATTGAAACAAAGAACAGTCCTTTTCAATTTGGGGGGAAAATGTTGATACTCTACATGGGAAATTAAATGATATCTAGTAAAAGGGTGTTACAATTTGTGAAGAGCTATATGAATGATATTGTGTGAAAGTCATTGGCATTCCTAGTAGAAGAAGGTCTTTGGAGATAATTATGAATATCAATGAAATTATTTCATGGAACACCAACATCTCACAAAATTCTATACCCAAAGGTTCTGAGGGAGTTCACAGCACCACAAGCAAAGGAACAAAAAGCGTATCTTAAAAATCTATGTCTTCTGCTTGGGAATTATCCCAATTGTCCACTGAACTAAATGTAAACTCCTCGAAATGCGTTAACAGATTCTTTTTACTGGTACTATTTAGGTAGCTGGAAATTGGGCAGAGTTCCCTTATGGATGGCTGTATGAAGGTGCATGTGTAAAATGTTGCTTGTGTTCTCTCCAAAAGTTGCTGTTTAATTAGTTTTATTTGAGATATTCCTATAGTCTTGCATAGGCAGATGTGGAAGTCATTTGTGAGAATATTGCTAGGAATTTGTTTCCAATTAACACAGAGGAGGGTAAGAAAGGAAAGCTTTTCTATTCTTATTATATTGCTAGATGATATTCAGATTGCGTTTTTTTTTTTTTTTACTCTCACATCAGGCCTCAGAAAAATGATGGGGTATGCGGGATGTGATGACCACCAAGCCATGTGCTGCTGCATATTGAATCAAAATTCCAACAGCCTTTTTTATTTGCCATTGATTTACAGAGTCTGGAGAGAGTTACAGATACTATTTAGGAAAATGTTCACATCTCCTTAGCTGGAGGCCCCAAAGACTGATAAATATGTAGTGTTTATGTTCAGTTACATGATGTTATTAACATTACCAGCTCCAAGATTAAATTCAACAGGTGGTCCTAATCCCCAGCACCTGAATTTCACAAATTACAGCCCGTCTGCAATGCTAGTTTTGTCTCATAAGGCTGTAGACTGAATTACTGTTGAGATTAAATCACTATGTGCTTTTGTTGAAAGATATGCTGCAAGTCAAGTCAGTGATGAGCAGCATGTGTTGAAGCTTAAAATATCACTTTTCATGGTCATATTCTCTACTTCCTCTTTTACAAACTATGTGAGCTGCAATTGTAATTTCAGTATCACTAAATGAAGGCTACATGGAGTTTCTTGTCATAATGAAGGCATTTTCTGTTAGAGTCTTTCTCTTCTTTCCCAGTCCCTTTCCCCAGACCTCTTCCCACAAATGTTCCACCAACTCATTTCCATGGTGTTACTGGTCTGTCTCTTCAGGTACCATATCTGTATTCTAACGTTACTCTCTTGGTCCCAATTTTTGGAAGCCAGTGATAAGATTGCTTAGGTACAAGTGAAGAAGCCAATTTTCATGGCTTTGGGAACCTTCTGCATTTCGAACTGCAACATAATGTATAACCAAGCTAACACACACACATTAAATCAAGCAATCCTCAAAGGAAAGCTCCAAGTCTTACAGCAGAGTAGAAGGGAACATGGAATGCAGTCCGGTCTGAGTAGATGAGGTCATTTGCCATCTGGTAGACCCAGTGAAATGGAACTGTGAGCTAATTCCCATTTCCAGAGGACAGGCTCTTATCACAGAAGGCCCACTATCACCCAGGCTGCCCTTTACTGAAATGGCTTATGAAAGGGCAGGGATCAATAGGGTCTACAGCTCAGCAGCTATCTCCTGGCTTCAGAAGTAGCCCCCAGGGATGGATTTTACATAAACCAGTAGCATACTTGTTCTTGCTTCTTTTCTTTCCTAGGCACTCAGTTATTCAGACAAATCAAAATTGCTTAGTGGTAATAGGACTGTTATTATCAATTGGTAACTATCCAGTTGGAGTGATAAGACAAGTCAGTGCAAGCATTGAAAAATAATAATCCAAAACCAGAATTTGGATGCATGCCATCTAACTTATTTTGTAATTATGGGATAGCTATTCCTCCTTTAGAAAAGTATATAAATTATCCAATGCAGGTTTGACCTTATTTTATGACATATGAGTTGTGAATGAATGACTCAAATGAATGCTCAATCATTTGAATCTCAAGGAAATTCAAAGTGAGCTCATTTTCAATGCTCAGGTATTATAAAACATGATCTGCCAGTGATGATTAAACCCTGTTACCACAAAGCATCAAACCCCCAAAATCAGAAAAACATATTTCATGTGTGAGGAGTTGCAATAATGTGGTCACTTTTAACAGGGTAAGTTTTTCTTTTTATAAGGTTTATTAAAAGACTTCATCTTCCTTAATTCTGCGATAGCAAAGAGAATTTTTCCACCTTCCCACAAGGGTAATTTCAAGATATCACTATCCTTTTGTCCATGGCAGATGAGTTTGACCTGGTTGCTTTCAAGTTCCAGGTATGCTGGCTCTCCTGCTGATCTGTGAACACTCAATCTACCTCAGGACCTTTGCACATGCTCTTCTCTCTTCCTGGAAAGCTCTTCCCCAAGGTCTTTTGCTTGGTTGGTTCCTTCTGGTCATTCATTCATCAGGTCACATATCATCTTCTTGTGGACCACATTCTTTAACTAGCCCCCACCTCAATAGTCATTCTCTATCGGATAAGCCTGTTTTATTTTCCTTATAACACTTAACAATATCTGAAGTAATCTTAAAACGCTTAACAATAACTGAAGTAATCTTAAAGTTTGTCTATTTTCTGTCCTTCCCCCAACAGGGGTCTAACTGCTGTGACAGCAATGTCTTTGTACATCTTGTTGACCAGTTTAATCCCAGGACCTAGGACAATATCTAAAATTTAATGGGCACACCTTAAGTATGTATTGAAAGAAAGAAGGAAGTGAAGGTGGAGGAGAGAAGGACAGACCTACTTCACCTCTGTCAAGTTTTTTCTCTATAATAATCACCAATGCAGTCCCAAGACTCTAGTATGTCTCATTTTTTTTCTAAATTTGTTATTCCCACAAAAGTAATGGTGGAAGGAAGGAAGAGGAGGAAATGATTTAAGAGGAAAGACAGAAGAATCTTTGGGAATGAGATTTAGTGATCCATGTTTAACAAGCTTCCTTTTTAAATATTGCACACATTAAACTTGGAGAAAACACTGTTTGAAATGTTTTTAATCATCACAATGTGTACTTC